AAGTTGCTCCGGCCCAGGACGCGCAGCGGGGACGCCCGGAACGAGGATGGGCTCAGCATGGCCGACGGGATGGGGGACAGCGTGGGAGGCTGTGAGCGTTGTTGTTGTTGTGTTGTTGTTGTTGTGTGTTGTTGTTGTGTTGTTGTTGTGTGTTGTTGTTGTGGTGTTGTTGTTGTTGTGTGTTGTTGTTGTGTGTTGTTGTTGTGTGTTGTTGTTGTTGCGTGTTGTTGTTGTGTGTTGTTGTTGTGTGTTGTTGTGTGTTGTTGTTGTGTGTTGTTGCGTGTTGTTGTTGTGTGTTGTTGCGTGTTGTTGTTGCGTGTTGTTGTTGTGTGTTGTTGTTGTTTGTTGTTGTGTGTTGTTGTTGTGTGTTGTTGTTGCGTGTTGTTGTTGTTGTGTGTTGTTGCGTGTTGTTGTTGCGTGTTGTTGTTGCGTGTTGTTGTTGCGTGTTGTTGTTGCGTGTTGTTGTTGCGTGTTGTTGTTGCGTGTTGTTGTTGCGTGTTGTTGTTGCGTGTTGTTGTTGCGTGTTGTTGTTGCGTGTTGTTGTTGTTGCGTGTTGTTGTTGTTGCGTGTTGTTGTTGTGTGTTGTTGCGTGTTGTTGTTGCGTGTTGTTGTTGCGTGTTGTTGTTGCGTGTTGTTGTTGTGTGTTGTTGTGTGTTGTTGTTGCGTGTTGTTGTTGCGTGTTGTTGTTGTTGCGTGTTGTTGTTGCGTGTTGTTGTTGCGTGTTGTTGTTGCGTGTTGTTGTTGCGTGTTGTTGTTGCGTGTTGTTGTTGCGTGTTGTTGTTGCGTGTTGTGTGCAGAAAGTGCGAGCGGTCAGCATGGTGCGCGTGAGATTCTCTCACTCCCTGCCCCCTAACCAAAGTGCGAATCTCTCTCTCTCTCTCTCATAGCCCATCATCAGCTAGGCCAAACTCTCGTTTCAACTAAGATAGGATCTAATTTTTTTTTATTTTACCAGCTGTAAGGCCGCACTGAGCTACGTAGCTGTTTTTCAGGGGCGACCTGGCTAACGCAAATTATAGCTCGAGCAAGTGGCTTACCACCAACATCATCATCATCATCATCGTCGTCGTGTGGAAATGTATAGCAGCCAAATACTCTTAAAACATGCGGTGTTGATTATAAACGTGGAGCGAAAAAAAGCGGAGGACCCGGAGAAAAATCCACGCAACCACGACAAGAGAGAGAGAGAGAGACGCTCAAACTCCAAACACACAGCAGGCATCAGGGTCGAACCCACGACCTCCTGCATAACAAGCGAGATTGTTAACATCTCCTAGCCACCGTGATGATGATGATGATCAGAGAGAGACGCTTAAACTCCAAATATACAGCAGGCATCAGGGTCGAACCCACGACCTCCTGCATACCATGCGAGATTGTTAACATCTCCTAGCCACCATAATGATGATCAGAGAGAGACGCTTAAACTCCAAATATACAGCAGGCGTCAGGGTCGAACCCACGACCTCCTGCATACCATGCGAGATTGTTAACATCTCCTAGCCACACTGATGATGATGATGATGATCACAGAGAGAGACGCTCAAACTCCAAACATACAGCAGGCATCAGGGTCGAACCCACGACCTCCTGCATACCAGGCGAGATTGCTAACATCTCCTAGCCACCGTGATGATGATGATGATGATGATCACAGAGCGAGACGCTCAAGCTCCAAACATACAGCAGGCGTCAGGGTCGAACCCACGACCTCCTGTATACCAGGCGAGATTGTTAACATCTCCTAGCCACCGTGACGATGATGATGATGATGATCAGAGCGAGACGCTTAAACTCCAAACATACAGCAGGCGTCAGGGTCGAACCCACGACCTCCTGCATACCAGGCGAGGTAGTCAACATCTCGCCACCACGGCACCCCACACTCGACTACTCACTCACCCGCACGTTCACACACTCCTCACTAAAGACAAAAGCCCCCCGTATATAAACATATTAACAGACTGTTGGGGCAAGTGCTGTTAACGAGTAGCAGCGCCTATGAAGGCTACCGGCACTGTGGCACACGAGGGGGTGGGTGGCCAGCACCACGCCCGGCCGCCTTTGTCTCCCCAGTGGCGATGTTTACTACACGCCGCACCAGGTACTCATTTGAGGCCGAGTCGACCTAAGGGAGGCCCACGCCCGGGTCCGATAATCGTCACCGGTGTTGGTGGCCGTGAGCGGGAATTGAACCCGGGTCGTTTGGTTCGTAGCGCAACGTAGCACTAACCGCTACACCACCGCTCCCTCCCTCACCACACACACTCCCTCACCACACACACTCACCACTCCCTCACCACACACACTCACCACTCCCTCACCACACACACTCACCACTCTCTCGCCACACACACTCACCACACACACTCACCACACACACTCACCACTCCCTCACCACACTCACTCACTACTCACTCACTCACCACACACACTCACTACTCACTCACCACACACCCACCACTCACTCACCACACATACCACACTCATTCACCACTCCCTCACCACACACACTTACCACTCACTCACCACACACACTCACCACTCACTCACCACACACACTCACCACTCACTCACCACACACACTCACAACTCACCACACACACTCCCTTACCACACTCACTCACTCACCACACACACTCCCTCACCACACACACTCACCACTCCCTCACCACACACACTCCCTCACCACACACACTCACCACTCACTCACCATTCCCTCACCACACACACTCACCACTCACTCACCACACACACTCACCACGCTCACTCACTCACCACGCTCACTCACTCACCACGCACACTCCCTCAACACACTCACTCACACTCACCACACTCACTCACTCCCTTACCACACTCACTCACAGCTCCCTCACCACACACACTCCCTCACCACACACACTCACTCCCTTACCACACTCACTCACAACTCACTCACCACACACACTCACAACTCACTCACCACACACGCTCACTCACCACACACACCACTCACCACACTCATTCACTCCCTTACCACACTCACTCGCTCACCACACACACTCGCTCACCACACACGCTCACAACTCACTCACCACACTCACTCCCTCACCACACACACACTCACAACTCACTTACCACTCGCACTCGCCACTCTCTCACCACATGCACTCCCTCACCACACGCACTCACAACTCACTCACCACACGCACTCCCTCACCACACACACACTCGCAACTCACTTACCACTCGCAACTCACTCACCACACACACTCACTCACTCACCACACTCACTCACTCCCTTACCACACTCACTCACAACTCCCTCACCACACACACTCCCTCACCACACACACTCACTCACAACTCACTCACCACACACACTCATTCACTCCCTTACCACACTCACTCACTCACCACACACACTCCCTCACCACACGCACTCACAACTCACTCACCACACGCACTCCCTCACCACACACACACTCGCAACTCACTTACCACTCGCACTCGCCACTCCCTGACCACACGCACTCGCTCACCACACACACGCTCACAACTCGCTCACCACACACACTCACCACACTCATTCACCACTCCCTCACCACACACACTTACCACTCACTCATCACACACACTCACCACTCACTCACCACACACACTCACCACTCACTCACCACACACACTCACCACTCCCTCACCACACACACTCCCTCACCACACACACTCATAACTCACCAAACACACTCACCATTCCCTCACCACACACACTCACCACTCCCTCACCACACTCACAACTCCCTCACCACACACACTCACCACTCCCCCACCACACACACTCACCACTCACTCACCATACTCATTCACTCACTTACCACACTCATCACTCCTTCACCACACACACTCCCTCACCACACCCACTCACCACTCGCTCACCACACACACGCTCACAACTCGCTCACCACACACACTCACCACACTCATTCACCACTCCCTCACCACACACACTTACCACTCACTCATCACACACACTCACCACTCACTCACCACACACACTCACCAGTCACTCACCACACACACTCACCACTCCCTCACCACACACACTCCCTAACCACACACACTCATAACTCACCAAACACACTCACCATTCCCTCACCACACACACTCACCACTCCCTCACCACACTCACAACTCCCTCACCACACACACTCACCACTCCCCCACCACACACACTCACCACTCACTCACCATACTCATTCACTCACTTACCACACTCATCACTCCTTCACCACACACACTCCCTCACCACACCCACTCACCACTCGCTCACCACACGCACGCTCACAACTCGCTCACCACACACCCGCTCACCCACCACGCTCACTCGCGGCAATGCTCAATGATGAACCCCGCGTACGCACGTGTGGAGACACGAACTGCAGAATGTTGGCCTTGAGCCGCTGCATGAATACGAGGTTGTAGAAGACGATGATGGAGTCGTACTGGTTTTCCCGAATCAGCACGTGCTTGAAAGTCTGCAAAGACAAAAGATCACCCCCCCCACCGTGTAGCCTGCTGGGGCGAGTGCTGTTAAGCAAGCACCAGCGCCTATGAAGGCCGGCGGGGTGGCCGGCAACCGCGCCAGGCCGCCTTTGTCTCCCCAGTGGCTGATGCTAGCGAGCACACACCGCACCAGGTGACTCATTTGATGGTGGCCCCGAGCGGGAATCGAACGCGGATCTCTCCGATACTCGCTTGGCCACCAAATCACTTAACGATCGGCCTCGTGCAACCAATGACCGTCGCTAAGAGGGGGATTCTACTTGATTTGGCTGCTGCTGTAAGTTTCCACGTGACGACGACAATGATGATGATAAGCCGCCAATAAATTTGGGCTGGTCGCTTCTGCAAAAAGAGCTATGTGCCAGGTCAGTGGGGTATGGGGTGGAGGGGGGGGGTTACTCCTGGTAAAATAAAATTAAAATAGTTTTAGCTTTGCAGTTTTTACATCTGCATATCTCCATAATAGAGGTCTTTTTTTTTTAGTTAGATCGCGTCGATGTATGAATGTTGTGTCGTTAAACACCCGCCACCACCCGACACAGCCAACTAGTAAGGGTTGCAACGTAAACAGAACGTAGCCAATTCGTCACTAGTACAGCACTTTAGTGTAGTGTATAGTGTAGTGTATAGTGTAGTATACTAGTACACTACTAGTACAGCACTAGTGTGTAGTGTAGTGTATAGTGTAGTATACTAGTACAGCACTAGTGTATAGTGTAGTGTATAGTGGAGTGTATAGTGTAGTGTACTAGTAGTGTATAGTGTAGTATATAGTGTAGTATACTAATACAGCACTAGTGTATAGTGTAGTGTATAGTGTAGTGTATAGTGTAGTATACTAGTACACCACTAGTGTATAGTGTAGTGTATAGTGTAGTATACTAGTACAGCACTAGTGTATAGTGTAGTGTATAGTGGAGTGTATAGTGTAGTGTACTAGTAGTGTATAGTGTAGTATATAGTGTAGTATACTAATACAGCACTAGTGTATAGTGTAGTGTATAGTATAGTGTATAGTGTAGTATACTAGTACACCACTAGTGTATAGTGTAGTGTATAGTGTAGTATACTAGTACAGCACTAGTGTATAGTGTAGTGTATAGTGGAGTGTATAGTGGAGTGTATAGTGTAGTGTACTAGTAGTGTATAGTGTAGTATATAGTGTAGTATACTAATACAGCACTAGTGCATAGTGTAGTGTATAGTGTAGTGTATAGTGTAGTATACTAGTACACCACTAGTGTATAGTGTAGTGTATAGTGTAGTATACTAGTACAGCACTAGTGTATAGTGTAGTGTATAGTGGAGTATACTAATACATCACTAGTGTATAGTGTAGTGTATAGTGTAGTATACTTGTGCATCACTAGTGTATAGTGTAGTGTATAATGTAGTATACTAGTACAGCACTAGTGTATAGTGTAGTATACTAATACAGCACTAGTGTGTAGTGTAGTGTATAGTGTAGTATACTAGTACAGCACTAATACAGCACTAGTGTATAGTGTAGTGTATAGTGTAGTATACTAGTACAGCACTAGTACAGCACTAGTGTATAGTGTAGTGAATAGTGTAGTATACTAATACAGCACTAGTGTATAGTGTAGTGTAGTATACTAGTACAGCACTATTGTATAGTGTAGTGTATAGTGCAGTATACTAGTACAGCATTAGTGTATAGTGTAGTGTATAATGTAGTGTATAGTGTAGTATACTAATACAGCACTAGTGTATAATGTAGTGTATAGTGTAGTATACTAATACAGCACTAGTGTATAGTGTAGTGTATAGTGTAGTATACTAATACAGCACTAGTGTATAATGTAGTGTATAGTGTAGTATACTAATACAGCACTAGTGTATAGTGTAGTGTAGTATACTAGTACAGCACTAGTGTATAGTGTAGTGTATAGTGTAGTATACTAGTACAGCACTAGTGTATAGTGTAGTGTAGTATACTAGTACAGCACTAGTACAGCACTAGTGTATAGTGTAGTGTATAGTGTAGTATACTAATACAGCACTAGTGTATAATGTAGTGTATAGTGTAGTATACTAATACAGCACTAGTGTATAGTGTAGTGTATAGTGTAGTATACAAGTACAGAACTAGTGTATAGTGTAGTGTATAGTGTAGTATACTAGTACATCACTAGTGTATAGTGTAGTGTATAGTGTAGTATACTAGTACAGCACTAGTGTATAGTGTAGTATACTAGTACAGCACTAGTACAGCACTAGTGTATAGTGTAGTGTATAGTGTAGCATACTAATACAGCACTAGTGTATAGTGTAGTGTATAGTGTAGTATACTAATACAGCACTAGTGTATAGTGTAGTGTATAGTGTAGTATACTAATACAGCACTAGTGTATAATGTAGTGTATAGTGTAGTATACTAGTACAGCACACCGGTGTGTTGGAGAGCCAAGCCACAACATTTACAATCTGAGCACGACGTTTCGCCAGTCATCACAACCAGCTTCTTCAGGCGACAGCCAAATCGTTTTGATTTTTCAGTTTTAACATCTCCACATCAAATAATTACAGATCAAATAAAATCGTTTTACGACGGCGACCAAGGTCCCCACCTGCTGCTTGGCATGGGGCATGCCCTTGTAGGCCGTGACGATGGTCTTGAACTTCAGGTCGATGTTGTGCACTTTGCAGATGGCGTAGATGGCACACATCATGATCTGCACGCAGAGACAAACGACAAAGATCCCCGCCAATGGGATAAAAAAAATAAGTCATATAAATTAAAAAAAAAACTTTTTTTTTTAAAAGCACGCTTTAATTCAATGTACCGTACTAGTAATGGAAGAACTCCACGACTCTAGGAAGTTGGCCCCGAAGCTTGGCCACAACGTAAGGGGGCCCCCGTGGTGATTTACAGCCAACGTCAGTTGGCCGTGGACAATTAAGCCCCAGCCGAAACGTAACGTGTAAAAAATAATGTTTAAAAATATATATATTTGTATTTTTTAATGATAGAATATAGTATTGTCATCGGTATGACGTAAGTATAACCAAGTCTGCAGCCGATACCACATTGGGAAGTGGGTTAACGTTGAGTTTGAGATTTGAGGATACAACATCAGACACAGCAGTGAGTTAATAGAAAGCGTGTAATAAAAACACACTCGCTTAACTGGGAAAAATACTAATTTAGTATTAGTATGGGTCTCTGAGTGTCTCTCTGGGTTTTTATAGTTCTACATGGATCTCTGTGGGTCTCCATGGGTCTCATGAGTCGATTGGAAACGCGCGTTCAGAGCATGTGGCTTCTGCTATACATTTCCACATGATGCTAATGGATAAGCCACCCTCTGTGATAGCCAGGTCGCTTCTAAAATAAGTAATATTTTAAACGCACGCTTTAATGAAATGTACCGTACTAGTAATGGAAGAACTCCACGACTCCAGGAAGTTGGCCCCGAAGCTTGGCCACAACGTAAGGGGGCCCGTGGTGATTTACAGCCAACGTCAGTTGGCCGTGGACAATTAGACCCCAGCCGAAACATTACATGTAAAAAATAATGTTTAAAAATATATATTTGTATTTTTTAATGATAGAATATAGTATTATCATCGGTATGACGTAAGTATAACCAAGTCTGCAGTCGATACCGCATTGGGAAGTGGGTTAACATCGAGTTACAAGCTTTGAGGATACAACAACAACGACAACAACAACAACAGACAGTTTCGATTTAAAGCTTTCGTGACTGCAGGGATTCATCTTCTTGGTTCTTTCGGTAAAGTCACCACCACCACGTATAAGGGAAACAATAAAACAATAATAAAAACCAAGAAGACGAACAACAGACAGAGCGAATTAAATGAAAGCGTGTAAAATAAGAACGGCCCTTTGACCGTTTTTGTGGCGGCAAAAACGCGTAGAGCTGTCAACCCCTTCGTTCGGGTTTATAGCCCCGCATTAGTCTACGGGGAAATGTGAGTTTTGTGTGTCCATGCGGCTGTACAGCCGTCTCTATACGGACACAAAAAAAACCATCAGTAACCTGATTTGTGCATATTTGTTTGTGTTTCTCCCTCGCTCGCGATGGGACTTTGTAGGATGAACGTTGAGATTTATAAGGGGCACGGGGTGACCGATAAGGTCTGAGTTGGTCTGTGATAAGGCAGGGCACTGATAAGGGGTTCACAGAGTAGTGTATAGTGTAGTGTATAGTCGTGTATGGTGTAGTGTATAGTCGTGTATGGTGTAGTGTATAGTAGTGTATGGTGTAGCGTATAGTAGTGTATAGTGTAGTGTATATTAGTATATAGTGTAGTGTATAGTGTAGTATATAGTGTAGTGTATAGTGTAGTGTATAGGATGAACGTTGAGATTTATAAGGGGCACGGGGTGACCAATAAGCTCTGGCTTGGTCTGTAATAAGGCAGGGCACTGATAAGGGGTTCACAGAGTAGTGTACAGTGTAGTGTATAATGTAGTGTATAGTAGTGTATGGTGTAGTGTATAGTCGTGTATAGTGTAGTGTATAGTAGTGTATGGTGCAGTGTATAGTAGTGTATAGTGTAGTGTATAGTAGTGTATGGTGTAATGTATAGTAGTGTATAGTGTAGTGTATAGTAGTGTATAGTAGTGTATGGTGTAGCATATAGTAGTGTATAGTGTAGTGTATAGTAGTGTATAGTGTAGTGTATAGTAGTGTATAGTAGTGTATGGTGCAGCGTATAGTAGTGTATAGTGTAGTGTATATTAGTATATAGTGTAGTGCAGTGGTTCTTAACCTGGGTTCGATCGAACCCCAGGGGTTCGGTGAGTCGATCTCAGGGGTTCGGCAGAGACCCCGCCACGGAGGTCCGGACACACTTGAATTATTGTGTAAATTTGTGATGACACACACGGCCTGCTTGGCCATCACTGGCTGCAGATGATCATGCTACACTGCTTGGCCAATCAGCGCTGCGGGGAATTTAGTGCGTACTCAGTAGTCAACGTGTGACTGTTGTTGTCGTACGTCGTGTGATTTCTTTAATATTTTATCCATACTAACTATGTCGGGCAAAAGAAGAAAGTGGTCGGACGAATATGTACAACATGGATTCTCATGTATCACGGAACGTGATGGGAGTGAGCGTCCTATCTGCATGATTTGCAACGCCAAGTTGAGCAACTCTAGTCTTGCACCGGCAAAACTAAAGGAACACTTCTTGAAGCTGCATGGAGACGGGGAATACAAGAACACAACACTTCCTGAATTCAGGGTGAAGAGAGCCAGATTCGATGAAAGGGCCACTCTGCCTGCTCTTGGATTTGTACCTGTTAACAAACCGATCCTGACAGCATCGTACGAAGTTGCTTACCTGATCGCAAAGCAGGGCAAGCCACACACCATTGGTGAAACACTTGTGAAACCAGCTGCATTAAAGATGGCGAATCTGATACTCGGAACAGCGGCCGAAGGTAAATTATCCCAAATTCCCCTTTCAAATGACACCGTCAGTGACAGAATAGAAGACATGAGTAAAGACATCTTGGCTCAAGTAGTCGCGGATCTGATTTCAAGCCCGGCAAAATTCAGCCTTCAACTCGACGAAACCACAGACGTTTCTGATCTAAGCCAGCTTGCTGTTTTTGTACGCTATGTGAAAGACGACATGATAAAAGAAGAGTTTTTATTTTGTAAGCCTCTTACAACAACAACGAAGGCAGCCGATGTGAAGAAGCTTGTGGATGACTTCTTCAGAGACAACAATCTTTCATGGGATATGGTTTCTGCAGTTTGTACGGACGGAGCTCCAGTCATGCTGGGAAGAAAGTCTGGTTTTGGTGCGCTAGTAAAGGCCGATGCACCACACATCATTGTGACGCATTGTATTCTGCACAGGCATGCGTTGGCAACAAAAACCTTACCTCCAAAAATGGCAGAAGTATTAAAAACTGTGGGGGAATGTGTGAACTATGTGCGAAAAAGTGCTCTGAGGCACCGCATCTTCAGTGAGCTGTGTAAAGAAATGGGCTCTGAATTTGAGGTACTTCTGCTCCATTCTAATATTCGGTGGTTATCCCGGGGACAGGTGCTGAATCGTGTTTTTGCCATGCGTGTGGAATTAGCCCTGTTTTTGCAAGAGCACCAACACTGCCATGCAGATTGCTTAAAAAATCCTGAGTTCATTCTCATTTTAGCGTACATGGCTGATATATTCGCAGCTCTCAATCATCTCAATCAGCAGATGCAGGGTGGTGGAGTCAATATCATGGAAGCGGAAGAACACCTGAAGGCTTTTCAAAAAAAGCTACCGTTATGGAAACGACGAACAGAGAACAATAACTTCGCAAACTTCCCGCTTCTGGACGACTGTGCAAGTAAGATCGAAGATGTGTCTGGAATCGGAGATATTTCTGTATCCACGGAACTGAAGCAAACAATTGCCACGCACTTAGATGAGCTTGCAAAGTCTCTCGACGGATATTTCCCTACAAGAGAGTCATATCCAGCATGGGTGAGACAGCCGTTCACGTTTGCTGTTGAAACAGCAGATGTCAATGATGAATTCCTCGACGAAATCATTGAAATTCAGCAGAGCCAGGTTCAACAGCAACTCTTCAGAACAACAACGCTCTCAACGTTTTGGTGTCGACAAATGAACAAATATCCAGTTATTGCTAAGAAAGCCCTGGATTTTTTATACCATTTGTTACAACATATCTTTGTGAGCAATCCTTTTCGAGGATGCTGGACATAAAAACGAAGAAAAGGAACAGACTTTGCTGTGAAAATGACATGAGAGTGGCACTTGCCAAGGTGAAGCCATGCATATCTGAACTGATCTCTCAAAGGCAACAGCAGAAGTCACATTGATTTCCAGGTATGTAATTTGTTGTGAGTTTATGCATTGTGTTGGTTTTATTCTTTGAACAAGGTAATGTTCATGCACGGCTCATTTTGTGTACCAGTAAAAAACATATCTATGTCTTGAATTTGAAAAAATCACATTTTATTTTTCACTAAAGAGGGGTTCGGTGAATGCGCATATGAAACTGGTGGGGTTCGGTACCTCCAACAAGGTTAAGAACCACTGGTGTAGTGTATAGTGTAGTGTATAGTGTAGTATATAGTGTAGTGTATAGTGTAGTGTATAGGATGAACGTTGAGATTCATAAGGGGCACGGGGTGACCAATAAGCTCTGGCTTGGTCTGTAATAAGGCAGGGCACTGGCAAGGGGTTGACAGCGATGAAAACAGGGAGTTGTGTTCAGCTGTTCGCACACCAAACAGATGATACCTTTTGCAAGGGATCCAGCAATGCATGAACGACACCACGGCACAAACGTGTTCTGAGAAGACGTGTGAAAGAAGACACTGGGCCTCACATTTGTCACAAAGCTAGGGTCTCCACGGCACGGATCAACACCTCCGTTCACTCTCCCTCTCTCTCTCGCAATGCCCCGGAACTCCGCGTCCCGTTAACTCTCTGAACCTAAATTTCGATTGAAAGCTTTCGTGACTGCAGGGATTCATCTTGTTGGTTCTTTCGGTGAAGTCACGCAGCTACTTCCGTGACCAGTCACGTGCTAATCCCTCACACTAACATCATGCTAATCTCCCGGCTACATGCTAATTTCTGACTTTAACATCCTGCTAACGCAACACATTAACGCGGCTACTTCAATGCTAAATTCTTCTGTTGATGTGCAAAACTCCTTCGTCAAGGCGCTCTGCTCCTCCCACCCAGCTTCAAGTACGCTGCCAAGCTTAGCGGTGTTCATTGAGACGCCGTCTTCCCGACAGTTTTTGTTCCTTCACCTGAGGAAGGCTACTTGTGTTGTGGCCGAAACGTCGTGGGGAATTTTATTTTATTACTTTATCATTTCCCTTCTACGTGGTGACTTTACCGGAAGAACCAAGGCGATGATGACTCTTTAAACATCTTCTCGTCTCTCGCCTGGCCTAACCGTCGCCACCTGACGCTCGCCACAAACCCTCCCACCTCTTTATTCCCCCTCTCCAACGTTCCGGGGCCAATCCTCTTCGCTCCCCCGTGCCCCCTTAAACCAATCGGAGCTGCGGAGTGTTGCTGCTCCGGCCTTCTTGATTATTACCCTGGCCCCAGGGGATCCGTGCGGGAGCAATCGCTACATTTGGCATTGTCATTCGAAACTCATTGGCCTACGCCACAGAGAGAGACGGGCGAGCCTTCGTTACGGCCTAGTCTCACCACCGGCGTCATAGACCGGAGGACAACCCCGAAAGACGGACACAGTTACGAAGGTAACGCAAGTATCGGAACACTTACAGCTCGGGTCGAGCAGTTAAATGGGACTCTTGTCATTTTTAATCACCATGTTAACACACACACAGACACAACAACAACAACCGCCATTCGCCACTAAGTGGCGGTGACGTCACCACGACGCTTGTGCCAGGCTATGTGCACCCTGAGGCCACGTGAAGTGTCGAACGCCCGCTGGCAGGAGGTCACGGGGCAGACCCAGGTGCCACGGGTCGACTGACTGAGATGACTGGCTGATGCACCACCTGTGCCCCCTACTGTGCCAACCTGCTGTGCTTTGGCCACCCGGCGCTCCGCTCGTTGTTGTGAGCGTCGCTCCTCCGCCCTCCGTTGTTGTTGGAGGGCGACTACCTCCAACTGCCCAGTAGCATCCTTCACGAGCCTCCTCCACAGAGGCCGATCTTGATGAGCTCACCGATGGGACCTCGCCCAGATCTTTCAAGGATTTGTGAGCTCCTCACACAATCCAGTCTGGTTAAACCCAGGATGGATCGTAGGCAGGCCAGCCTAAATGTTTCTAACGGGCGAAGATGTTCCATTAGGGGGGTACACGTTTCGCAAGCGTAGAGAAGGGAGGGAATGACCGTGGCCGAGAAGACCTGAAGCTTAGTGCGGAGCGACAGACCAGGTAGCTTCCACACAGCGTTACGCAACCGATGAAAAGATATTGCCGCTCGACTGATTCGGAGTGAGACCTCTGCTGTTAAACTGGAGCCAGTCATAAGCACCCTGCCCAGGTATGGGAAACTTTCCACTCTCTCCACAACTGCCCCATCACCGATTGGGAGTTGTGGGGGTGGAGTGTCCGATGGTACAAAATACCCAGGCAGGTGCTTAGTTTTGGTGGGGCTGATGGTAAGGCCCCACCTCTTAGTGGCACGCTCCAGTCTCAGCAGCAGCGTCTCCAACTCCTCCTCTGACTGAGCAGCTATTACCAAATCATCCGCATACATAACGTGGTTGAGCACACACACGCGTACACGCACACGCGTACACGTACAGACACGTACAACGGCCGAGCGCCGGTGAGCCCCCACCTCCTCCCTCCCTCCCTCCCTCCCCTCCCTCCCTCACCTCCCTCACCTCCCTCCCTCCCTCACCTGGTCCAGGTGGCGTCCGGCCATGAGGTCGGGCTCGTTGCGCACCGTGTGTTCCAGCAGGGTCCAGATGGTGAGCTCCTGCACTGCGTGGCCGGGCAGCAGGTGCACATCCGTGCACAGCTGCTTGAGACGTTGGTGGGCCAGGCAGCACACTGCACCGTGCATCCGCAACACAAGGGAGGCGGGCGTGGCGGGCGTGGGCGGGGCGTGTGGGGTGAGGTCCCCATCATCGTGCTCCGTCATCGTTATCGTTATAATCATTGTTCATCATCGTCGTCGCCGTCGCCGTCGTCGCTATCACCGCCATCGCTATCATCATCGCTATCACGTTCGTCATTATTATTATCATTGTTTACCACCATTATCATCATCATCATCACTCTCACCGTCGATACCACCACCATCATCATTATCATCATCGCCCTAACTGTCGCCACCACCACCATTACCACCATCACCACCACCACCATCACCACCACCACCATTATCATCAACGCTCTCACCGTCGATACCACCACCATCATCATCGCTCTCACCGTCGATACCACCACCATCATCATCATCGCCCTCACTGTCGCCACCACCACCATCATCATCATCAACGCTCTCACCGTCGACACCATCATCATCATCGCCCTCACTGTCGCCACCACCACCATTACCAACATCACCACCACCACCACCATCACCACCACCACCATCATCATCAACGCTCTCACCGTCGATACCACCACCATCATCATCATCATCGCCCTCACTGTCGCCACCACCACCATTACCACCATCACCACCACCACCATCATCATCATCGCTCTCACCGTCGATACGACCACCATCATCATCATCGCCCTCACTGTCGCCACCACCACCATTACTACCACCATCACCACCACCATCACCACCACCACCATCATCATCATCAACGCTCTCACCGTCACCACCACCACCATCATCATCATCATCGCTCTCATCGTCGCTACAATACACACCACACTATACACTACAATACTACACACTACACTACGCTACACATCACACGACACACTACAATACAGACCACACTACACTATACACTACAATACACTACACTATACACTACAATACACTACACTATACACTACACTATACACTACAATACACAACACACTACACTATACACTACAATACACACCACACTACACTATACACTACAATACACACCACACTACACTATACACTACAATACACACTACACTATACACTACAATACACACTACACTATACACTACAATACACACTACACCATACACTACAATGCACACCACACTACACTATACACTACAATACACACCACACTATACACTACGCTACACACCACACTACACACTACGCTACACACCACACTACACACCATACACTACAATACACACCACACTACACACTATACACTACAATACACACTACACTATACATTACAATACACACCAAACAACACACTATACACTACGCTACACACCACACTACACACTACACTATATACTACACTATACACACCACACTATACACTACACACCACACTACACACTACACTACAATACACACCACACTACACTATACACCACACTACACTACACACCACACTATACACTATGCTACACACTACACTATACACTACGCTACACACCACACTACACACTACACTATACACTACAATACACACCACACGACACTATACACTACAATACACACCACACGACACTATATACTACACTATACACTACACTACACACCACACTACACTATACACTACGCTACACACCACACTACACTATACACTACAATACACACCACACTACACACTATACACCACACTACACTATACACTACGCTACACACCACACTACACACTACAATACATACCACACTACACTACACACTACAATACACACTACACTATACACTACAATACACACCACACTATACACTACACTATACACTACACACCACACTACACACCACACTACACTATACACTACAATACACACCACACTACACACTACACTATACACTACACTATACACTACAATACACACCACACTACACTATACACTACAATACACACCACTCTACACTATACACTACGCTACACACCACACTACACTATACACTACACACTACACTATACACCACACTACACTATACACTACACTATACACTACACTATACACTACACTACACTATACACTACACACTACACTATACACCACACTACACTATACACTACACTATACACCACACTACACTATACACCACACTACACTATACACTACACCACACTACACTATACACTACACTATACACCACACTACACTATACACTACACTATACACCACACTACACTATACACTACACTATACACAACACTACACTATACACTACACTATACACCACACTACACTATACACCACACTACACTATACACTACACTATACACCACACTACACTATACACTACACTATACACCACACTACACTATACACTACACTATACACCACACTACACTATACACTACACTATACACCACACTACACTATACACTACAATACACACCACACTACACTATACACTACACTATACACCACACTACACTATACACTACACTATACACTACACCACACTATACACTACAATACACACCACACTACACACTACACACACACTACACTACACACCACACTACACTACACACTACGCTACACACTACGCTACACACCACACTACACTATACACTACACTATACACTACAATACACACTACACTATACACTACAATACACACCACACTACACACTACACTACAATACACACTACACTACACACCACACACCACACCACACTACACTATACACCACACTACACTACACTATACACCACACTACACTACACACCACACACCACACCACGCTACACACCACACCACACTGCCCCCCCACCCCCCCCACCCCCGCCCCGTCACCTTTCTTGAGGAACAGCAGCGAGGACCTGCGGTGACGGAACAGCGGAGAGGCGACGCCGGCAGGAGCCGCCGGCTGAGCCGCCGGCTGAGCCGCCGCCGCCGCGGCCGCGGCCGCCGGCTGGTCGGCCGAGGGGGCCGCCGTCGGCTCGTCGGCAGAGGGAGTCGCCGCAGCTGGGGGGCGGTGCACGGGGGACAGGGAGCCACGCGGCCTGCACGGCCGGGCCAAACACAGGCGGCGTCGTCAGGGCCTGCACCGAACCGCCGCGCGACTCGGCGCATGCCGAGGCGAGGTGGCCGACGTGCCCCCGGCCGCCGAGGCGCCCCATCGGCCCTACCCCGACGGGGCTGTTAGAGGGGCCACACTGGGGGGAGCTTTGCCTCTGCGTGCGTGAGCTCACAGGGCGTGCGCCGCGTTGATGCCGGGGTTGATGCCGGGGTTGATGCCGGGGTTGATGCCGGGGTTGATGCCGGGGTTGATGCCGGGGTTGATGCCGGCGCCGTGCGGATCCGGCGCTGCGTCCGTGCCGGCCTGGACGCCGTCCCTGCAGTTCCTGAGCTCCTCCAGCAGGGGAGAGTCCTGTCGTGTCACACGCACGCACGCGCGCACACACATTACATACACACGCATTACATACACACACATTACATACACACGCATACACACATACATACACACATACACACACACACATTACATACACACACATACACACGCACATACACACACACTACATACACACACATTACATACACACACATTACATACACACACATACACACATACATACACACATACACACACATACACATAACATACACACACATACACATAACATACACACACATACACACATACATACACACATACACACACATACACATTACATACACACTACACACACACGCATTACATACACACACATACACACACATACACACACACACTACATACACACATTACATACACACGCATTACATACATACACACGCTCATACACACACATACACACATTACATACACACACATTACATACACACACATACACACACATATACATATACACACATTACATACATACACATACAACAACAACCGCCATTCGCCACTAAGTGGCGGTGACGTCACCACGACGCTTGTGCCAGGCTATGTGCACCCTGAGGCCACGTGAAGTGTCGAACGCCTGCTGGCAGGAGGTCACGGGGCAGACCCAGGTGCCACGGGTCGACTGACTGAGATGACTGGCTGATGCACCACCTGTGCCCCCTACTGTGCCAACCTGCTGTGCTTTAGCCACCCGGCGCTCCGCTCGTTGTTCTGAGCGTCGCTCCTCCGCCCTCCGTTGTTGTTGGAGGGCGACTACCTCCAACTGCCCAGTAGCATCCTTCACGAGCCTCCTCCACAGAGGCCGATCTTGACACCGCTGGTACCAGTCATCGGCAAGTCCACTCAGCTCCACGTCCTCCTGTACCACATCACTCCATCTCTTCTCTAGCCCGTGCCGCGCCCGCTTAGCCCCCTCAATCCGGCCGAACAAAAGCTGTTTCGACATGCGGTGGCTGGGCATGCGGGCTACATGACCCAGCCGTCGCAGCCTTGCCCGCCGGAGGAGCTCACCGATGAGACCTTGCCCAGATCTTTCAAGGATTTGTGAGCTCCTCACACAATCCAGTCTGGTTAAACCCAGGATGGATCGTGGGCAGGCTAGCCTAAATGTTTCTAACCGGCGAAGATGTTCCATTGGGGGGGTCGAGAAGACCTGAAGCTTAGTGTGGAGCGACAGACCAGGTAGCTTCCCACACAGCGTTACGCAACCGATGAAAAGATATTGCCGCTCGACTGATTCGGAGTGAGACCTCTGCCGTTAAACTGGAGCCGGTCATAAGCACACTGCCCAGGTATGGGAAACTTTCCACTCTCTCCACAAATGCCCCATCTCCGATTGGAGTTACATACACATACACACATACACAAACATACAAAGATAAAGATCCCCCATATAGCCTTAACAGACTGTAGGGGCAAGTGCTGTTAGCGAGCACCTATGAAGGCCGGAACGGTACACGAGGGGGTGGGTGGCCAGCACCACGCCCGACCGCCTTTGTCTCCCTAGTAGCAATGTTTACACACCGCACCAGGTACTCATTTGAGGCTGAGTCGACCTAGGGGAGGCCCGGGAACGGTTCAGATAATCGTCACTGGTGTTGGCCGTGAGCGGGAATCGAACCCGGGTCGCCAGGTTCATAGCGCAGCACGCTAACCGCTACACTATCGCTCCTCACGCACACATATACACATACACACACGTACGCACACACGCGCGCACACACACGCGCACACACGCACACAGAACCACTAATTTAACAACCATAGCAGTAGCTACATGCAGCAAGGTCTCAGAGTACGCGGGGGGGGGGGGGGGGGGTTAGGTTACGCGTACCCCCCCCCCCCGCGTAAGTTGGTGTTCGCCTATACGAGTGTCGATATAGTATCATGTAGATAGACACTACTATACACTACTATATACTACTATACACTACTATAGACTACTATACACTACTATAGACTACTATACATTACTGTATAATACTATACACTACTATACACTACTATATACTACACACAACTCTCCAACACACAGCAACCGGTTAGTGTTGTACTTAGTAACGAATTGTAAATGTAGTAGTGGGTTTAACTCTGCAACACACAGCAACCGGTTAGTGCTGTACTAGTAACGAATTGTAAATGTTGTAGTGGGTTTAACTCTCCAACACACAGCAACCGGTTAGTGCTGTACTAGTAACGAATTGTGAATGTTGTAGTGGGTTTAACTCTCCAATACACAGCAACTGGTTAGTGTTGTACTAGTAACGAATTGTAAATGTTATAGTGGGTTTAACTCTCCAACACACACCAACCGGTTAGTGCTGTACTAGTAACGAATTGTAAATGTTGTAGTGGGTTTAACTCTCCAACACACAGCAACCGGTTAGTGCCGTACTAGTAACGAATTGGCCACGTTCTGTTTACGTGACAAACCCCCTTACCGATTGGCTGTATCGGGTGGTGGCGGGGTTTAGCGACACAACGTTTATATTATTTACGCGATGTAGCCTGAAAAAAAAAAACCTGCATCATGGATCACTATGATCATCGATAGCGTGCGGGTCAGATCGAACACCAGATTGTTCTAGGACTCGCTCCTTGCGCGGGCGATAAGGTTCCACGCCGCCAAATTTCACGTCCGCGAAGACGGCAAGGCGGCGTTGTGGTCGTCACTCGTTGCAAAGTGTTCTCGGCTCTGCCGGTAAAGTCACGTGGAATGGGGAAGTGATAAAAGAATGAAAATAAAACATCATGATAACATGAAATTCTCACGACGTTTCGGCCACAAAGCAAGCAGCCGTGTCCTCAGGTGAAGAAACAAACGAGGCTGTCGGAAAAAAAACAGCGCTCCTATTTCCCTTCTACGTGGTGGTGGTGGTGGTGACTTTAACGAAAGAACCAAGAATATGAATCCCTGCAGTCACCGAAAGCTTTAAATCGAAAGAGTCGCAAAGTGTTTGGATGAATGGTGGTGGTCGGTCGGTCGGTCGCGTACCAACGGGTTCCGCGTACTCTTGAGAACCACGTACTCCGAGACCTGCACGTTGATGCAAATGCGGAGGGGAAAACTACACTCGACTGTAAGCTACGTTAACATTTTTTTACGAGGTTTAAGGCCCCACTGAGGTGCCACGTAGCTGTTATTTACACGCTTTCACTTAACTCACTCTGTCTGTTGTTGTTTGTTGTTGTTGTATCCTCAAATCTTGTAACTCAATGTTAACCCACTTCCCAATGTGGTGTCGACTGCAGACTTGGTTATACTTGTGTCATACTGATGACAATAACTATATTCTATCATTAAAAAATTTAAAATTATATTTTTTAAACAATCTTTTTAACACGTTACGTTAACGGCTCGGGTCGAATTGTCCACGGTCAACCGACGTTGGCTGTAAATCACCACGGGGGTCCCCCTTACGTTGTGGCTAAGCTTCGGGGCCAACTTCCTGGAGTCGTGGAGTTCTTCCATGACTACCACATTGAATTAAAGCGTGTTTAAAAAAAAAAAAGTTTAAAAAAATATATATATTACTTATTCAGAAGCGAATTGGCCGTCACGAATGATGGCTCAATGAAGCCCATCGTCATCATCACGGCGCGGAGATTTATAGCAGCATCAAAATGTTCATGAACGCGTACGACGCGGAAGACGTTCAACACACGTACATACAATGTGATCAGCATAAAATAAGCAATTTTAACCAGGTGTAAGGGCCCCATTGAGTTATGTAGCTCTTTCTCAGAAGCGATCTGTACATCACAAATGGTGGCTCAATGACGTGGTGGCTTATCATCATCGCATGGACATTTATAGCAGCAGCAGCAGCCAAATAATCCACGCGACCACGGGGAAAGGGAGACACACAAACTCCAAATATACAGCAGGCATGGTCAGGGTCGGGATGGAACCCACGACTTCCTGCGTACCATGCGAGGTAGTTAACATCTCGCCTAATACAGGCATCGTCAGGGTCGGGATCGGACCCACGACCTCCTGTATACCAGGCGAGGTGGTCAACATCTCGCCAAATACAGGGATCGTCAGGGTCGGGATCGAACAAACGACCTCCTGCGTACCAGGCGAGGTAGTTAACATCTCGCCTAATACAGGCATCGTCAGGGTCGGGATGGAACCCACGACCTCCTGTATACCAGGCGAGGTAGTCAACATCTCGCCAAATACAGGCATCGTCAGGGTCGGGATCAAACAAACGACCTCCTGCGTACCAGGCGAGGTAGTTAACATCTCGCCTAATACAGGCATCGTCAGGGTCAGGATCGAACCCACGACCTCCTGCGTACCAGGCGAGGGAGTGAACATCTCGCCAAATCACAGGCGTAGTAAGGGTCGGGATCGAACCTACGACCTCCTGCGTACCAGGCGAGGGAGTAAACATCTCGCCAAATCACAGGCGTCGTCGGGGTCAGGATCGAACCCACGACCTCCTGCGTACCAGGCGAGGGAGTGAACATCTCGCCAAATACAGGCATCGTCAGGGTCGAAATCGGACCCACGACCTCCTGTATACCTGGCGAGGTAGTCAACATCTCGCCTAATACAGGCATCGTCAGGGTCGGGATCGAACCCACGACCTCCTGTATACCAGGCGAGGTAGTCAACATCTCGCCAAATACAGGCATCGTCAGGGTCGGAATCGAACAAACGACCTCCTGCGTACCAGGCGAGGTAGTTAACATCTCGCCTAATACAGGCGTCGTCGGGGTCGGGATCGAACCCACGACCTCCTGCGTACCAGGCGAGGGAGTGAACATCTCCTAGCCACCACGGCCCCCCTAACATACAACATACATACAACATGCAGTACGAACCATGCACACCGCCCCCCCCCCAACCAACCGTTCCAAACCCCACGTGGAATGTTGGGGAGTTCAAGTGCTGCCCGGTAGCAATTGTTCAAATAACACGCACGCCCGTTGCCCCACGCCACAAATCCCGTACATTAACGTCC